TTTTTTCTTCAATATTTTTTTTATCTACGAGATTTGATGATCACTGAATATTCCTGAATATCTTGATGAGTTCGAGACTTGATGCCACTGAGTATTTCCTGCTATATTGTTATTGTCTGAGGTACCGGAGCCCACTGAGTGGTCCCAGTGCACTGGAGAGAGTGAGTGACCCACCCCCATGGCTGCAAGCATACACTAGACATTCACTTCGACGAAAGTGAACCACTCAGGTTTTCCAAAGAAGGAATAATGTGATTTTATAATAATTAATGTATATATATCTGGCTCTAGCAAGAGTCTTCTTTATAGGATGGTTTTGTGAAATTAAATATCAACGTTGAACATTGATGAGTATAAACTAATGCAGAGTGTACTAAGTCTGTGTACCGTAGATGATGAGGGAGACGAATGGTTGTGATATGGTTCAGTGTATAAAGGTACTCCACAGTCGTCAGAGGCGCCATGTACACACCTGTCGTTATTAACCATTACCCTCCCTCCTGCCTAACACACACTTACTGGCTCCACGGTTCACCTATTATAGTATTTCCAGTCCCTCTCTATTATCACAGCTTAAGTAAAATGACAAAAACATGCAATTTTTTCTGATCGAGGACACAGTATTCGCTAAGGTAGTTGTACCGTCGCTCACAATAACTTAATGTCACTCGTGTGTTTAGTATAAATCATCGTAATATTCTGTGAATGAATCTGGGGTTTAACTGAGCGGTTCCTGCAACAAACACCAAACACTAGTGCTCCTTATAAACTATTGTACAGAGTAAATCATCTTCAACAAACTTTCTGTTAAACCAATGATCACAAACATTGTGATTCCTGACCCTGTGAAAATTCTTGGCACACACACACACACACACCCACCCACACACACACACACACACCCACCCACACACACACACACACACACACACACTATCAACTCTAGATTTACAGTATTTCAAGTTTTTTAAGTTAAATGGCTTTTTATTTAGGATTTATTTATTCACTGCCACTTTACAATTGTTATAAGAAGCATAAGAGTTTGGTGCGTGTTGCAGGAAACGCTCAGTTAAACCCCAAATTCATTCGCAGAATTTAACCACCATTTGAAGAAAACGCGAGAGAGAGCAGGCAGTTTTCTGTAATGACATAGGTCAAGTTTTTCTACCTAACAATATCTGTCGTGGGAACCTGATAAGTGTGCCCGCCGGGACGCTAATCACTACACTACCGAGGAGATGTGTGCATATATAGACTCTCTTTATATACAGTATATATTGTATATATTATATCACACTTAACATGGGATTGATGGCCCCAAGGTCTAACTTTCCTATGATGTCATCAGATCAAGTGTGTGACATCACGCCCAGCAGTAATTGGGAACCTGGATGTTAATTTTATTTGCAGAATGTTTTCCGGGGTAATGGTTAGCCAGCGCAGTTGGCGAATTGTCCGATCTTCTCAGACTATTCCTTGACACTAGGTCATGCAGCTCGTCTGCTTTCAAAACTAGAAATCCGGAAATTAACAAACTGACTGACTGATTATTTTTAAGATATTTTTAACCTTATTTAACTTGTATTTATTTGTATATAAAAATAATAATAATTTGTTTAGTGTTAATGAAGTCATAATTATATGGACCCATGGAACAGTGACACAAGGGTCAGTTTTCTATCGTTGTAATGTGACCCACCTCATGGGAAGCTGATCCTCCAAGAAAAAGATGAATATATTTTTGGGGGTTCCTTATAAACAATTGTTGTATTATTCTCATGAGAAATATACATAATATACACTGCTTTTTGACATAGATGGCAATGTTATGATTGACTTTTATTCACTTATACGTACATTAATAGACGCAAATACGTTACATAATAATGCACTGCGTACACACTACACACTGTTTGAGACTATACTATAATGCACACTTCATACTTTGAGAAAAGGCTGAAAGTGACTGTTGATGTTACTGATAAATATACTGAAACCTGTACTTTTGGTTGGGTCCTCTTGTACTGTGCCAGTAGACGTACACTTTAGTGTTGGCCATTCAGGCAAATACCAACACTTCCACCTCAGTTCCACATTCACCTGGCGAGACCATGATACTGGTGGAAGGACAGCACTCACTCACAGTCTGTAACACTGCTGACCATATTGGTGCTGCTGGCTTCTGGTGTGTGTGTGTGTGTGTGTGTAATAATACTAATAATAATAATAATAATTATAATTATAATAATAATAATTAACGGTTTATTGAAAGAGCATGGCAGTCGGAAGGCTGAAAATATACAGTTACATAATTGAGGAATGAATCACTTGATTTACAAATAATATACAATTAACATCAGTGATATAAGGCTTCTTCAAAACCCGAGGTCGATAGCTTTGTGGAGTAAATTGTGGTCGATTAGGTCAAATGCTTTGGTGAAATTAATGAAGGCGACAGCTACAGACGTTTTTCGTTTCTCCAGATGGCGGTATATGTAGTCAAGAAAGCTGACAAGACAGCAAGTGGTGGAGGAAGTTTTCATATTGCCAAATTGCTGAGGGTCTACGGCTCCTGCAATATCAGCATAAGCCCAGTCAAACAGAAAATTTTCGCAGATTAATCTGGGTATTGGGAGTGATGGCAATGGGTTGTAGCTCATTTAAGGATTGTGAGCTGGTTGACTTGGGCACTGGGCACTGGCGACAGACTCATATGAGGTCTTCCAGTCATCTGGGCATTTTGCTTGACTGAGGGAAGCATTGATGATGGAGAGGGGTTTAGCTAGCTCCGGGGAGAACTCCTTGAAGAGTTTCATTGGTAAGTCAATGGAGGCGGTGAAGCGTTTTAACTTCAGTTTGTTCAGACGTTTTGCTACTTCAAATTCTTTCACTAAGTCAGTGGGAAAGGGGGTTGGTAGGAAATCTGGGAGACTGGTTATGTCAAGCCGGGGGAGCGTCTGGCATATAGTTGCTAAATGGTTGTTTGATTGCTCAGCTGCGTCAACATTAGTGAGATGGCTAAGGAAGGGGAGGGGGTGTGTCTTATTGTTTAGTCCACAGAGTTCTTTAAGCTTACCATACCGCTAACTGATGTTGGTCTGCTTCAAGTGTTGCAACTTGGTGTGTGTGTGTGTGTGTGTGTGTGTGTGTGTGTGTGTGTGTGTGTGTGTGTGTGTGTGTGTGTGTGTGTGTGTGTGTGTGTGTGTGTGTGTGTGTGTGTGTGTGTGTGTGTGTGTGTGTGTGTGTGTGTGTGTGTGTGTGTGTGTGTGTGACATTATGTGCCTGTGTAGGATGTGAAAACGCCATTAATGCTTCACTTTCACTGAACTTCAACAAGACTTCACCCTCACTGAACTTTAAGGTGTTGTTCCCAGTCATGGATTGGATCTGTTACTTTCACTGATGCGTCGAAAAAAAAAACGTAACATTACAACCAGATGGCATTGTCGGTGTCTATGTAGTGAAAGTTAAATGGAATTGTCTTTGTGGTACTCTTCTCTACGTAGGGACTGTGTTTACGTGACGGTAATCTTTTATCATGTGACACATTATATACTAGGTCTGTTATTTCAAGTATTGGTCAACTAAGTACATCTAGTTACTGTAAAGGGTGGTAGTGTCGAGGGAGTAAATAACAGTTTTTATTGTATCAAGTTTTTATTTGTCGTTACTGTCCGCCTGTTAATTTGTCTGGCATTTTGTCTCTGCTGTTAATATTTGGTAACAATGTTCACTTCAGAAATACCAAGGGTCAGTTCCAACATAGTCCTTCACCGGCAACGCCCGACTGTTTGTGTATGTTTATCAACTCTACATACAGGAAGAGACAACACGATTAGAATTCTCAGATTTGATGCAAATATAATCTTTTCAGGGCAGCAAAGTCAAGTTCGAATAGTTACTGTGTTGTAACGTTATTCTATAAGGTCCGTTGTATTCTTCACTGAGGACGAATAACTTGTTCTTGAGGCGACCATGACGGGGGGAGACAAAAAACTGGATGTATTTTAACAACTTTCTATTGCTTGTTTTGTGCTCATGTTGTTATGCCTTATAATAAAAATACCTTCAGTTGTAAATACTCTTTGTGGTAGTCAAGTCATGAACGACTGATAATACTATGAAACTCACGGGACACATTCGATAGCTAGCTTGCTTGTTTCGCCTCGTTTGTCTGCTGGTTACAAACACACACACACACACACACACACATATGCAGTCACTTCCTCGTCAACCGATCAAGCTCTCTACTACTTTTTCCACTTGTTAAGTTTTCACAACATTCCCTCCATCACATGAGTATCTATATGAAACCGCTCAGAAAAACATGATTTCCTTTTTGCCATGAGAGAGGTGCATCTCTGGTGAACACATTGAGTATGGTGACTTAACACTTTGAGGACGACTGTATAGTCCCTAGAGTACGATTACTTAACTCCTTGGGTACGGTTCTAAGCCAGTTAACCCCTTTGAATATGAGGTTAATATTTGTCAAAAATATTCTTCATCCCCAACTGCCAAGAGCCAGTTCTAATATGGCCCCTGACTTGTAACGTGAGAGAATTTTCATATTTAACATCAAACTACTGCTTTAATGTGTCAAGGTCAAGTTTTAATGAAGATCTTAAGGTTATAAAGACTGAGCCAAAGAAACTACTCTCGCCACATTGACCTCTCAGCCAAACATGACGTCACCAATGGAAAAGACAGTTGCCAATTTTTCTTCATCCTGAAAATGAGTCATATTCTAGACTGTCTGGTTGATTCCATATTGATCTTGTTAGCCTATTTTTAATTTCCAATGTAATGTGTAACTCCCAGCATTTATAGGTAAGAGGATGACTCTCCATAGAAACTGGCTCGAACCTTTGTACATTAACCTCCAGCGGCGGTAAATGAGTTTGTCGACGAACTTTTAAGTAATTTCTAAAGTAGATACAGACGCCACCTGTTGCCTGTCATACATCCATACACAACTAAAGGAAACTATAAAAATCAGCTCTAGATAATTATTTATTTATAATATCAACATTACAGTCTCCTCATAGTTGTATAAAACAATGTGATCACACCTGTGACAATTTTTCTATCGTGTGCAACCAAATTAAAATTTAATAGCCGTCCCTCAAAGCTCTCCGGTTTAAGGGCCATCTAATCGTGCATTTACTTAATTTAGGTGTAAAACCTGTCACCAACACACCCACCACACCCTCCATGCAACTAGACATAACCCAGTGTCACCCAATAACCCAGGAAGACCGGATAACTTACCAACTTTACTGGATAACCATGAACCCACAATAATCGATTAACATCCAGATCCCCACTTGCTGGTGGTTTACATGCAAAAATACTCAATAATAATATAAGTGATCAGTATAAACGCCAGTAACAGGTCAGTGAAACACAACTGGCCGAGCAACAGTCAATAAAGTTTTCTTATCATTTACTGTAATTTGGAGAGTAAGAACATTGGCATCTGAGCTGAGCTGCCTGTCCAAGTGGTATGAAAGAAATCCATGATTACTTTATACACATCCAACATTGGTACCATCATAATATATTCGTAAAAATTAGGGATGTTATAAAAAAAAAATCACTCCAGTTGTTGTACCTTAAACGCATTTCAATATGTAAGTAGACAGTTAGTGTAGATACTGACAAAAACCCCCCACAATATTATAGGGTTTAAAAGTGGGTCAATATGCTCCATGGATATTGATGGGCGTGGGAGGGAGAGGTCACGGCCCCTCTTAAGTTTATGAAGGCGAGGCAGAAGTAGGCGACTTCCATGTGAGTTAGGAGGCGAGGTGTAATAGGAGACCAGATGAACTATGAGACCAGGTGTACTAGGAGACCAGCTGTACTAGGAGACCAGGTGTACTAGGAGACCAGGTGTACTAGGAGACCAGGTGAACTAGGAGACCAGGTGAACTAGGAGACCAGGTGTACTAGGAGACCAGGTGTACTAGGAGACCAGGTGAACTAGGAGACGGATAAGATGACGACCCAGAAGACGAGGCAGAAAGAGGTGATGATGAGCGGGTAGACGAAGCGACGACTGACAATCATCAGCCTCCCAGCCTGCATCCTGAAGGAGATGGTACATACTGTTATGGTTGTGGTGCTGTGGTTGTGGTGTTGTGATTGTGGTGTTATGGTTGTGGTGTTGTGGTTGTGGTGTTTTGGTTGTGGTGCTGTGGTTGTGGTGTTATGGTTGTGGTGTTGTGGTTGTGGTGTTGTGGTTGTGGTGTTTTGGTTGTGGTGCTGTGGTTGTGGTGTTATGGTTGTAGTGTTATGGTTGTGGTGTTATGGTTGTGGTGTTATGGTTGTGGTGTTGTGGTTGTAATGTTATGGTTGTGGTGTTATGGTTATGGTGTTATGGTTGTGGCGTTATGGTTGTGGTGCTATGGTTATATTGTTATGGTTGTGGTGTTGTGGTGTTATGGTTGTGGTTGTGGTGTCGTGGTAGTACATTTATGGTGATGTTGCTGTAATGGTACATCTAGGGTGAGATACCATACAGTATCTGGCATGAGTGTTCGAGTCAACCAAAGTTTACTGGTGTACTGTACTCAACCAAGCTGTAACATTACTGGGGTGTACTGTAAATCACTGCCTGAGAGCTCCCACTGTCAGCTAGATATTGACTGAAAATGTACTTTACAGTGAACTAGTGATTTGCTGTACATCTTCAAACTGTAAACACTGTGATTGACCTTGTTGGATTGCTTTATGTATTTGTCACTCGTTGTCGTAGTAAATAGTAAAGAAAAAAATTATATACAGGTAATTGAGTCTTACTTATGATTGTGGTCAGGTGTTGTGGTGGTGAATGTAAATTATCTAAGTTGTAGTGAGCGTGAGATAGCTTATTTGATGATGATGATGATGATGATGATGATGATGATTGATGATGGTTATGATACAGTTGTGGTGTTGAACATTGCATACTTGATAGTGAATCGTTATGGTGATAAACACGACTTATACTTGATAGTGAATAAGTTATGGAGATTAACATGATCATACTTGATAGTGAAGAAGTTATGGTGATTAACATGACATACTTGATAATGAAGAAGTTATGGAGATTAACATGACATACTTGATAGTGAAGAAGTTATGGTGATTAACATGACATGCTGATAGTGAAGAAGTTATGGTGATTAACATGACATACTTGATAGTGAAGAAGTTATGGTGATTAACATGACTTATACTTAATAGTGAAGAAGTTATGGTGAGGAATATGGCGTAGCTTACTTGATGGGGAAGAAGGACGGGTACTGGGGAAGCTTTAGGTCGCCTACGGGGGATACCTGCACAGTTCTGGTTTTGGGCGTCTCAGGCTCCTTATCCAGATGTTCGACTGTGATGTGGATGACGATGATGCTGAAGATGACGAAGATGCAGAAGAAGAACCACAAGTCGAGCATCTTGATGTAGGCGGTGTCGGGCAGGCCACTTGACACTTGGTTGAACAGCGTGTATAACACCAGTAGTGTGGTTAACGTCATCACGGCCCTGGCCTGTAACACATATGGTGCTCTTAACACTCTTACTAATCTATCACATATGGTGCTCTAAACTTTTACTACACTATCACATATGGTGCTCTAAACTCTTACTAATCTATCACATATGGTGCTCTAAACTCTTAATACACTATCACATATGGTGCTCTAAACTCTTACTAATCTATCACATATGGTGCTCTAAACTCTTAATACACTATCACATATGGTGCTTTAAACCCTTGCTACACTATCACCTATGGTGCTCTTAACACTCTTACTAATCTATCACATATGGTGCTCTTAACTCTTAATAAACTACCACCTTAATACATATGGTGCTCTAAGCTCTTACTAATCCATCACATATGGTGCTCTTAACTCTTACTAATTTATCACATATGGTGTTCTTAACTTACTAATCTAACACATATGGTGCTCTTAACTCTTACTAATCTATCACATATGGTGTTCTTAACTTACTAATCTATCACATATGGTGCTCTTAACTCTTACTAAACTACCAACCTTAATACATATGGTGCTCTAAACTCTTACTACACTATCACATATGGTGCTCTTAACACTCTAACTAAAGTACTACACCATTTTCATCACTTAAAAGAGTACTGTACATTTGTAACCATTCTCATACATTGAAAAATAGGTGTGCTAGGTTAGGTACATCTTGGTCCCCTTAAGTTCATCTGACTCCCTAAAACTCACTTGCTTATTCTAAAACTCACCTGCTTCCCCTAAAACACACCTGCTCACTCTAAAACTCACCTGCTTCCCCTAAAACACACCTGCTCACTCTAAAACTCACCTGCTTCCCCTAAAACACACCTGCTCACTCTAAAACTCACCTGCTTCCCCTAAAACACACCTGCTCACTCTAAAACTCACCTGCTTCCCCCAAAACACACCTGGTTTCTCTAAAACACACCTGTTCACTCTAAAACACACCTGCTCACTCTAAGACACACCTGCTTCCTCTAAAACACTTCTGCTTCCCCTAAAACACACTTGCTTTTCCTAAAGCTCATCTGACTCCACTAAAACATACCTGATTCACCAAAAACTCGCCTGATTCTCCTAAGACTCACCTGATTCCCCTAAAACTCACCTAATTCTCCTAAGACTCACCTGATTCCCCTAAAACTCACCTGATTCCCCTAAAACTCACCTGGAAGACGGCCAACTTGATGAACAGGGTGCCGTAGCCGATCCCCAGTAGGAGGAAGGTGGGCAGGAAGATAGTCAGCATCAACAAACTCCAACGTCGCTCTAGCTGGAACATCACCTGTGACACGTGATACATGGTTGTGATACGTGTTCTTTGTGATACATGGCTGTGGTACATGTCCATTGTGATACATGATGCACAAGGGGTGCGTCTTAACTTGAGCATTTTATCCCGAACGACCAGAACGTGCCGAGCAGAATTCGGCGAGTAAGGACGTGATACTGAGCCAAACCGAGCGCGCCAAACGTTTTCCGTCGTTTGTTGATAGATGGTGAGTGCTCAAAAGGATTCTGAGTAAAGTTTTTCAAACGGCCATAATCTATTTCACTCAACAGGGACATATTTTTCCGTCAAGAAAATAGTCGCCTTAACCACCCTTTCCTAGATTTCTTCCTCCTTTTGGCTAAGGAGTAAATAATGAATAATACACCTGCTGCCACTGTGAGATCCAGGGTTCAACTGAGGAACACGGTGGGAATAAAACGAGCACCGTCGAACACTCAGAATACAGAGAGCTTCACTCGAACTGCTCGTTTGGTTCGTTCGTGCGTGTCTGTCCGTTTGGTTCGTTCGGGATAAAATGCTCAAGTGAAGACGCACCCCAGGGTACACTCACAGTTAAAAGTCCTGTCGGTTCTTCTGCTGCTTCACGAACCCCAAGATTCAAATTCGTGAATCCGAAGCCTCCGTGGAGAAAATAATGCATATCTCTACTGCTCCGGGTTCTCGAGTCTGAATCTCGGGATTCGTGAAGCAGTAGAAGATTCGCCAGAACTTTTGACCGTGACTATACTGTTACCCATATTTTAAGGCGCTTGATTTGTTTGTGCTTTTAACCCCGTGAGTTCCATTTATTTTTTTACATTAGTTGACCATAACACATGGAATTCCTCAGGATATGGATGCATGAGGAACATATCGTAAGCCATGTCATATAAGTTATTCAGTGAACAAATACGTACTAGTGTGGAATAATTCCCCTCGGGTAATATGAACATTATTTAGAAGGACAAGATTTTCGAAGACTTAACACGAAATAAAATATTGTTTAACTTGATAGAGAATGTAATATAGCTGTGAAGGCGAGACTTTGAGCATTTACTATTCTACAGTTTCTAAAGCCTATAGTACAGTCACCATTATTATTATCGGTAAAACGTTAAGGTTGAGTTGCATGCTTTTTGGCTACGGCACATTAATTTATATGTTTAAACCGGTAATGTGTGAACGTTGGAGCGAGAGAGAGTGTTTGAGTGTATTCTGGGATACTGAGTTATGTGTATTATTCACATTTGTGGATTATTACTGTGAATAATGCCCTTGTATGATAATTTTATTTATTTTAATTTTTTTATTTTTTTTTATGATGTGAAAATTGTTCTTCTACGTGTTATCAATTCCTGCCATGTTATATGCGTTAGGAGGAGATGCCTTTTAATTCCATTTATCCATCCTTGTTTCCTCCTCCTCCTCATCCCTTTGGCTCTTCTACCCTTAATATCATACATTAATATCTCTTCCATTATCCCCTTATCCTCGGTTATATGATCAACGTATTTCTTATACCTTATTCTATATAAATTTCAACTATTTTTCGTAAAACATCGTATTTTTTTTTATCAGTATAACTTATCATTACCATTCTTCTTTGGCATCTTTCTTCTCAAAATCAAACTCAACAGAGATTTAATATAATTGAATGGCATTTTAATTTCCATTTTTTTCACATTTGTCATCATCACTTTTCCTAAAAAAAAAAAAAAAAAAAAAGGGAAAAAATTTCACCAGTTTCTCATTTCCTATCACACCTTTCATTGTAAAATTGACCTTTGATTTAAAAACAACTATTACTTTATGTCTTTACAGCGTGAAAGCCCAAACTCGTCTTTTTCCGCCTTTCTGCTAGTCAGTTTTTACACCACCTGTGATATTTGCAACAGCATCGGTATAACGATAATCATATTTGACTGCATCACTAGTTCTTATTTCTCGCTACTTACAAATACTTTCACTAAAAATTCTTAAGGATGGCGATAACACAGAGCCTTTGTCTAACCTAACCTAACCTAACCTAACCTAACCTAACCTAACCTAACCTAACCTAACCTAACCTAACCTAACCTAACCTAACCTAACCTAACCTTTTACTAATAAGCTTTACTCTTACCCTTAAATAGAGTTATATGTATTTTCGTCATACGTACTATATGATCCTTTAACTGCCAGTTTGTTTAAGAAATTCTGCTGAAAACTCAACTCCAAAATTATTTCCAAAAATTGGTTGTATTAACATATTTTTAATTTCTTATCTCCATTATCATCATTGTACAATTATTCTATATAATCTTCCCTCCTTTCTTTTTTATAACTTCTGCCTCAAACTGGATATAATTATTTTTTTAATCTCACTATCTATGTCTTTTTTCTGGTTCCTTTATCATATTACTCTCTTACTTCGCTACGATTCTCTCCTTTTATAGATCAAGATTATTCACTTTGTCACCACTTTGATCAGTATACCACCTAGTGTCCAAATAACCCAACTACCATACCTTAGTTAAGTGCTGGGTGAGTGAGTGTACATTACTGCAACGACTGTGGCAGAATATATCACCCTCGTGTTGAGGAATGTACTGTATAGCGAGCCCTGAGGTATTGTGGATACAGCACTCTCCTCCTCTTCTATAGGTCGGTGGGATTCGATTCCCGGGTGCTTCCAGTTCACCCAGTTGTAAATGGGTATCCAAGTTTACAACATGGGGAATTGAAGGCGGTCGAGAACGGTACCGGCCATTGCTAAACGGGCAGTCATGCCTTTGGGACCCACTTTAACTTTCATCCGGTCTGAGCGAGTATTGGACGTATCTATGCATATGCTGTATATATCAACTCTTGAAGCTAAGCCATTATTGCTTTTACTTTATCACTGTCAGATTATTGTTTACAACAAGTCTCTACTCCATCCCTTAGCTTCGAGCATTACTCAGGTGAGGTGTAGAGGTAGCAGCTCACGCCGGAAGAGTAAAAATAGTTTCGATACCTGTGCACTTATTACCCACATTGCCATAAACCCTACAGAACATATATCTTGTGGACAATTTTATATCTGTAATCTTCGCCTAGCAGAACAGTGAGATAGAATCGGGTTGAAATGACGTCACAGAATTCACGAAGGTGTGTTTACCTGTATGTGGTAAATAACGACGGATCACCTCACGCGACCCTGGCACTCAAAGAGCTATTGTTCGTAAATATTTTATACGGTTGGCAGCTACAACAGGTTGCTAAAAGCTGCAGGATAAATCAATTTGTGTATATAAATCCACAATGATACTTTGATAAATATGCCCTAAGCTCATGTTACACAGCTCATGTGAACCGAGTATAGTACAGACTCGTCTCCTACACCACAAGTTTTATGGGACAATGAGACCATAACAACATACGAGTTGCGTCACCATAATCAGTGGCCCGAGTGCTAATGTTACTCAGAAACATTTTGTTATATTTTGGTAATATTACACGTCCTTCATTATTCATAGTCAAAATTATAAACTCTTTAGATATTCAAATTTTCATAATTGGTTTAAAACCTAACGTCCGTGACCTCAGCAAGTGCAGCCTTCATGGTAAACAAATATAGTTTACGTCGTGTTGGCTAAAATAATTTCATAGGCTAAGTTTGTCGTCACTAATAATACATTACTGTCATTTTGCCCATAACTTCCCCAGCCTTAGGAACTAATTACTTAAACCACCACTCACTGACGTTGAAAAGTTACTTAAAACAAGATCTTTCGAACGTTATTTGTTGACTAAATGAATATTCAATCTTTCAGAGTTCTGTATCACGATGGATTCAACACATTAAACTATTTTAATTTTATTCATGAGGTGACCTGCTGGCGTATTACACTAATTGTTAACAAAATTAGCTCACATGGCTTTATATGTACAGTCAATGTCTAAACTCTTCTGTTTATTTTTACTAACAACTGCACCTCTTATTATTTATTTGTGGAAACCTAAGAATAATATCCCCTGGACTTCCTCAGGTGTTTCGATGAGTCCAAAGAGAATGTTAGAGCAACACATATCTAGTTCGTTTAAAGTGAGATGCCATCCTATTACTTACCGCAAATTTCGATCCGACATCCATTAAAATTTTTCCCGGTCTTGTCAAGTCAAGCGCAACCATTCTGTATCTGTGTTAAGAACGTCACATTGCAAAGACTGTGACGACATCAGCCAGGGAGGTTCACACATCGGCCATAAGAAGAAAAATGCCACTTAATAAGGGCAATCTAACCCAAACAAGCGTAATCTAACTTTAATAGACAACATTAACACAAACCAGGACTGGTTTGATGAAAATGACCTGGCAAACAATATACTCATCAATGATAAACGTCCTGCTGTAACTGATTGTCAGAACAACCCCCAGACTCGGACCAAAGCTGATACCTTCCACAAGAAGAAAGCTGTGGCCCAGTAGGAACTTCACAATCTAAAAAACGACAGGTTTAAAAATAAAGCAAGTGAAACACAAGTGTTTGCATATCAGCACGAGAGGCGCGAATTTTTCAATTCTACCAAAACATTTTATGGGCCAATCATTAATGGCTCAGTCCCCCTCCACTCATCCGACGGTAACTCCATAATTTAAGACGATAAAGGCCTCCTTCAGCGCTGAAAAGAGCACTACCATTCACTGCTCAACCGAAACACTGATGTGGATGCCCTGACAACCCAGCAGGTCCCTCAGCATCCAGAGCTGACCCACCTCAGCTATCCTCCACCCCTGGATGAGGTAGCTACTGCCATCAAACAGATGGAAACTAACAAAGCCTCAGGGCCTGATGGAATTCCAGCCGAGGTGTATAAAGCAGGAGGACCTCTGCTTACCAGCCGTCTCCACTCTCTCCTGGAGAATATATGGGAAAAAGAGGAAATCTCCCAAGCTCTTAAAGACGCCTCCATCGTCAATATTTATAAGAACAAGGGAGACCGGTCATACTGTGGCAACTGCCGCGGGATCTCGCTGCTGTCCGTAGCTGGGAAGATTTTTGCCCGAGTCCTCTAAGTAGACTTCTTCCTGAGGCGGAAAACTTCCTCCCAGAATCTCAATGTGGCTTTTGACCATCATGTGGCACCGCTGACATGATCTATGCTGCCCTCCAGATGCAAGAAAAGTTCAGAGAACAGCGTCATGACCTGTACATGGCTTTCATCGACCTAACCAAGGCCTTCGACTCGGTCAACAGGGAAGCCCTCTGGTGGACCCTCAGCCTTTTGGCTGACCCCCAAAATTCATCTTCATTGTGAGGCAACTCCACGATGGCATGAACTGCAGTGTCCTGTACAACGGCACCCAGTCTGAATTCTTCCCCATCCAAATAGGGGTTAAACAAGGGTGTGTACTGGCACCAACTCTCTTTTCCATTTTCTCGGCTGCCTTCCTTACTCGTGCCACTGCCAATCTAGCCGGCGGGGTGGACATAGAGTACCGGGTGAAGTGGGGTCTTTTCGACATAAGACGACTCCAGGCAAGAACAAAGGTGTCGGCAGCTTCCATTACTGAACTTCAGTATGCAGACGACCTCAATCTTGTTGCTCACACTGAACGCGACCTACAGGAGATCTGTACACCTACCTAGAAGCGTATGCACATTTCGGCCTTTATGGTGAATGTACGTAAGACTCAGATTCTGTTTCAACCTGCCCCTGGTTCAGACACACCTCCACCATCCATCAAGCTTAATAATAATAATAATAATAATTAACGGTTTAAAGAGCTTGGCAGCCAGAAGGCTGAAAATATACAGTTACATATTTGGGGAATGGGTTACGAATTACAAATAATATACAAGTGACATAAGTGACACAAATAAGACATATAGTAACTTAGATGGGGATCAGCTCAAACTACAGTTCATTTCAACATAGTGACAGTGTAGGGAGCAGTGTTTACTGGGAGTGAATACACTGATTTATTACATGTTATTGATAATTTTTACAATGGTTGGGACTGGGCTGTTCTTATAGCGATCAGTTCGTGCACGTATGGGCTGGATGCGGTTGTGGTGTCGAACAGCAATTCTCGGACAGGGGATCTCAGGTGGTAGTAGGGGCCGGTGTCGGGGATGGTGTAGAAGCTTCTTACCAAATTTGCAGATGAGGCCGTGGTGATGGTCAGTGAGAGTCGAAAGGGTCAGTGTGTTGAGCGCTTCTTGATATGTGGAGTAGGAAGGGGAGAGAATAATCTTGCATGCCCTCTTTTGCACTTTTTCTAGGTGTTTACGTTGTGTGGCATTTAGGGAGGAAGACCAGGTGGGGGAGGCATAGGTGAGCTTGGGAAGTATGAATGTTGTGTATACACTGAGGAGCTCGTGTGCGGGAACTCCGAGGGACTTGAGTCGGCGGAGGAGGTGGAGACGGAAACTGGAGGATTTGACAACTTCACTGACGTGTGGTTTCCAATTTAGTTTGTTGTCTATGGTGACGCCGAGGAGCTTCGTGGAATCTACAACCTGGAGTGTGTTCGGACCTAGGGTAATGGAGGGAGGTGGGACAATGTCGGAGGAGAGGTTGATGTGCATAACCATGGTCTTGGTATGGTTGATGGTGACATGGTTGTTGGTGGCCCAGTTTTGGAGACTGTTCAATAAATCCTGAAGGGCGGTATAGTTGGGAGCAGAATTGTTGACGCTGATCCCAATGGTGGAGTCGTCGACATATTTCCAGCGAGCAGGGGTTTCTCTTAGGGCATCATTGATGAGCATAAGGAAGCAGAGTGGTCCCATCTTGGTGCCTTGGGGGACGCCACAGGTGAGTGACTGAAAGGTGGAGACAGCCCCTCGGAAGCGTACAGCTTGGCGTCGGTCACTGAGGAAGTCTGTAAGCCATGGTATGAGACTTCTCCGAAGCCCGAGGTCAATAGCTTTGTTTATGATTATATTGTGGTCGACTAGGTCGAACGCTTTAGTGAAATCAATGAAGGCGACAGCTACAGACGTTTTTCGTTTCTCGAGATGGCGGTATATGTAATCGAGAAAGCTGACAAGACAGTGAGTGGTGGAGGAAGTTTTCATGTTGCCAAATTGCTGAGGGTCTACGACTCCTGCAATATCAGCATAAGCCCAGTCAAACACAAAACTTTCACAGATTAGGCTGGGTATTGGGGTGATTGCAATAGGTCGTAGCTGATTTAAGGATTGTGGGCTGGTTGACTTGGGCACTGGTGATACATAAGAGGTCTTCCAGTCAGCTGGGCATCTGGCTTGACTGAGAGAAGCATTGATGATGGAGCAGAGGGGTTTAGCAAGCTCCGGGGAGAACTCCTTGAATAGTTTCATTGGTAAGTCAATGGGGGTGGTAGAGCGTTTTAATTTTAGTTTGTCCAGGCGTTTTGCTACTTCAAATTCTTCTACTCACCTTAGGTATCTCGGCTCCCACCTGTCCACCACCGCAGACATCGATGAAGAGATTCAGCATCGGATCAGATGTGCATCTCAAGCCTTTGGCAGACTCTGAAACCGTGTCATCAGCTGTAGGGAGCTGAAATTAACTACAAAGTTACACGTATATCGAGCAGTGGTCCTCGCCACCCTGCTATATGGCAATGAGACATGGGTTACATACAGGAGGCACCTGAAGCCACTTGAAAATTTTCACCATCGTAGTCTACGTTCCATCCTCCGAGTTCGCTGAGAAGACAAGAGACCAAATGCCAGCATGCTTGCTGACACCAACTGTAGGAGCATCGAGGCTACCATTATCCATGAACAACTACGCTGGACTGGCCATGTTACCCGCTTGGACGACAGTAGACTGCCAAAGCAGCTACTTTACAGTCACCTAACGATTACAGTGGTAAACGTAACGCCGGCGGGCAACTGAAAAGATATAAGGATAGTCTTAAGACAAACCTGAAAAAGTGCCAAATCGACCGTCTCACCTGAGAGTCGATTACTCCACATCGTAACGCTTGGAGGAGTACCACACAAGAAGGTGTTAATACTTTCGAGTTAGCCCGACTGCAAACCGAGGCAAACAGGCGCCAACGCCGGAAAAACGCTGCCACCGCCCCTTCTGCACTGGATGCAGCCCTCCACATGTGCAACATCTGTGAACAACTCTGCCGGTCCCGTATCGGCCTCTTAAGTCACCTGAAAACTCACCAATGAAGGTGACATCCCTAATAACTCATATCATTGTATCATAGCTGGATGATCGTCATACTCGATTCCGAGTGACAGCAAAGTAGTAGTAGTAGTAGTAGTAGTGTGTGTGTGTGTGCTTTACGGTTCTTACCTCTATGACAGCATAGCCGGAGCGATTCTTGAGGGAGATTTTTATGTTCTGAACCTCGTATTTAGGAAGTTCAGCCATGCCACTGTATACAACAGATGAGTTCTGTAACAACATCGAAATTCACAATACGTATACCACAACTTTTACAACAATAACATTAAACTCAGTACATTTCCACAACACTTGAGAGAAACTGTTGTAGCATATGAAGGAAACTCAGTCACTGTTACTGTGGTTTATGACTATCTTAACCAACGGCAAAGTTTTCATTGTGAATCGGTTCAACAGATGTCTCAGTCGATTTGAATAATTTCTAGAATAAAATCCCTGTAAATCTGATGACAGAAAAGCTATAAACTTGACTCTGATTAACTACTAAACACACACACACACACACACACACACACACACACACACACACACACACACACACACACACGCATACACTCATGTCATCATCACTCGGAGTTTGCTCTTGTTTGTCCAGTTCGTTTAATCCTTTACAGTAAGGCCCAGAGCCCTTCATCCCCTGGCTCTTGTAATGCTTAATGATTAATATCTAAAGATTTATTAAAAATAATGACGGGATTAAATAATCAGAACTGGTTAATGGCATGAATCAATCACCACCGTCATGAACAGAAGTGAATATCATTATCACCTTAACCTTCCCACCTGTAGAAGCAAAACACGTTACCTTGAGTTCGAGGACGGTGGTGTCAGCTGAGGCGAGCTTGACGACGATGATGCAGGTCTGTGTGTCGAAGGGGTACCTGAACAGCTTGAAGTGACAGTTGAAGCTGCCGTAGTACTGACGTCTCTGCACCAGCTGTCCACTGCTGGGCTGGTAGATAGTGTCTGTAAGTCCAGTCAAGCTGATCAGTGTGTAATGCTATTTGGAGATGCTGATCAGTGTCACATTAACCATTTTGAACTAACTTGATCACTGAGACTCAAGTTCATCATTGTGAGTCTATCTGAACGCTGATCAGACTGAGGCAAATGGTGAACAATATAAATGTGGCATCTGTAATATTTGTCAACTTAACTTAGAAGGTGAAAAGAATATGGGCTTAAACATGTTGTGTGTAGAGGTACCATTGACCTGAATTCTTGATCTCCAAGTTCCAAGGAGTGATGCTGTATTGTAGAGGAGAGATGAGGAGAAAACTAGGACTTAGTCACTGTTAGAGGGTGAAGGTGAGAGAAAGGATCCAGTTAGATGTCGGTGGAAAAAAGAGGAGGAAAGAATTCTTTTGGCAGTCGCCGAATAAAACAAAACTAAAGATTGGATGAAGAAGAAAATGTGTAGGTGAAGGAGGAGTAGAAAGCACACGAAGGTATGAAGATGAAAGAAACTGCCAATCTGGACATGAATAAAGAAGGAACGAGGAAGAGGGAACATACCCATCTGGACGTCGTAAAAGAGAGGAGGGTCGGGGTTGCCGGTCTGTTTCACGTACACTCCAGTTTTCAACATCTTCAACTCGCCGTTGTTCACGTTCAGAAACTCGACTTCTGGGCTCCAGATCTTCTCTACTTCCTGTTCATTCAACTTGTTCTTTCCCTCCTCACTCTTGATGTTCTTAAATTTGAGGTTTCGGTCAGGCCATGAGAGAGAGATCTCAATCTCCATGTTGAAAGCGAGGTTAATGTCGTCTATTTTTGAGAACCTGATGAGATCTACGACAGGAACGATCTGTAGCGGCGTTCTGAACGTAACTCCGGGAGGCGGGCGATAATTGTGGTACCTGTCACTAAAGGAGATGGTGGTGCAGTTCTCTTCATCGCTGCCATCTAAGCAGTCGTCCCGTAAGTTGCAGCGCACGGAGCGGTGCACACATGACCCGTCCGTGCACATGAAATCTTGCGTCGTGCATGTCGACAGACCCAACACCACGTCACTACCTATAAGGTGGTCACAGAAGGAGGTGTTGACGGTCCACCTCTGGCGGCCGATTGGATAGTCGGTGGAATACATCATGGAGACGGTGGCCAGGGTAACATTTCCTACTATATCATGTAATATCCACTCCTTCACACCTGAATGATAAATAATAAGACCGTAATATCCTCTGAAGAAGGGTTTACCGTTGATGTAACCGTCCAAGAGAAAGCGTGTTTGATGCTCGTTGATCTGACACATGCCTCGTAACTGCAAGTAATCCAGGTTGGTTCTACTGCAGGAGAAACATAGTTTATTGTAACAGCCAACATCGCCCCAGCGGTAATTGTAATTACTCAACACTAAGCAGTTATCTATCCTCCAGCCATTGGGCTCTCCCGGACTCCAGGGAATATACGTTAGAGGCTCGCCGCCCATTGTTTTCCTCCACTGCCCTTCTTTGTCAATGTCTGTCCCGCCTAAAATTATAAATCGATAGCTCTTTCCTGCACACGCGTCAGTGAACAGCTCTGTGGCCACGTTAGCAAACTGAGAATTGGTCTCCTCGTCTTCAGGGATGAAGAACTTAGAATCTGTAAGCTTACAGAACCTTTCGGCTTCTATAGGAAGCATCTTCACCGGGATAATAAAGTACTTCTCTCTTGACTTACAGAAGGTCTTAATGTGAACCATTTCGGAACTCACGTTGGACTCTTGGACAGAGGTGGTGTCTGTTGAGAACATGTTGCCTTGGGGATTTTCTAAGCAGTTGGCGATGCTCTCTATATAGCTGGGGTCCAACTCGCGATTCCAAATATTTACCTGGAATAATTATACAAAAGTTGATTTTGTAGAAGCACTCTATGGACTTTAAGGTTAATGAAATAAGGCGACTAGAACCTCCTTAATGAAAATATCGATTCATAGTGTCCTAATAAGCATGTACTAGACCATGCCTTTAGTCTGTCTACCACACAACACGTCATACGATTTACTAAGGCAGTAAGCTAGTCAGGTGAACCATCAGTGTGTTGGGCAGGTGCTTCCTCCCTCGGCCAGTTGTTAACGTTGAGTGATGAAGACTGACCAACACATCACTGAACATAATACACAGTGATGAGACCAGTGAGGAGCTTGTCATTTATTGAACCGCTGAATTGTTTAATATAATAAATCATATGTTTTATGCCCAATACACAAGACTACGATCATCAGAGTATTTATCCTACATTACAAGAGTTTGTTATATAACGTATAGTAGGTCTGTGTTTGATGTCTGTTAATGACTCAATGCTCACCCTACCTGCCCCTCTATCATCACCTGTTTTTCGCCAGTTACCTGAATACCTGTTTTGTTGTTTTAGAGGAACACATCATCTGTTCTTCAACCATTTTAAGGGAACACATCATCTGTTCGCCAACCATATAAGAACACACTAACTGATCTTCCGGCATTCACTTGGTATTCTTCAGCCACTAAAGAACACACCCAGAACACACCAGGTGTTCTTCAGGCAATAAGCACCTGGGTGATGTAGCCGCTGAGAGTTTGGTCAGAGTCCAAACCGCCGTCGAATTTGTCTTGATCCTGACCAAGGTAGAGCGTCCCGTTGAGGGGGATGAGGGCGGCCTCGCTCACCAGGGTGCCCTCCTTCACCTCCTGCCCGTCCACGTACACCCTGCCACACATATATTGAGATGTAAGGTGAGGCATATTTGATACGAGATGGTTGGGAGGTGAGAGACACTTCAGAAATAGATGAACGACAGTTGAGAGAGAGATGAGAGATGGATAAGAAAGAGTTGAGAAATTGATAAATGACGGTTAAGAGAAGGATGAGAGACAGTTGACGGATGGTTGAGGGATGGATGAGAGAGACAAATGAGGGAGAATCACCTTGGCTTATGACCCAAAAATTATGGTATCAGATAAATATTCGTTTCATTAATAGCATAACCAATTTAAATGTAAAATAACCAACCTGTAGGTGTGGTGGGTGAAGACAAAGACCAACATGTAGGTGGAGTGGGTGAAGACAAAGACCAACCTGTAGGTGGGGTGGGTGAAGACAAAGACCAATCTGTAGGTGGGGTGGATGGAGACAAAGACCAACCTGTAGGTGGAGTGGGTGAAGACAAAGACCAACCTGTAGGTGGGGTGGGTGAAGACATAGACCAACCTGTAGGTGGAGTGGGTGAAGACAAAGACCAACCTGTACTGTAGGTGGGTGAAGACAAAGACCAACCTGTAGGTGTGGTGGGTGAAGACAAAGACCAACCTGTAGGTGTGGTGGATGGAGACAAAGACCAACCTGTAGGTGGAGTGGATGAAGACAAAGACCAATCTGTAGGTGGGTGGGTGAAGACAAAGACCAACCTGTAGGTGTGGTGGGTGAAGACAAAGACCAACCTGTAGGTGGGGTGGGTGAGACAAAGACCAACCTGTAGGTGGGGTGGATGAAGACAAAGACCAACCTGTAGGTGTGGTGGGTGAAGACAAAGACCAATCTGGTGGAGTGGGTGAAGACAAAGACCAACCTGTAGGTGTGGGTGAAGACAAAGACCAACCTGTAGGTGTGGTGGGAGACAAAGACCAACCTGTAGGGTGGTGAAGACAAAGACCAACCTGTAGGTGTGGTGGGTGAAAACAATGACCAACCTGTAGGTGGGTGGGTGAAGACAAAGACCCAACCTGTGTGTGTGGTGATGACACCAACCTGTAGGTGTGATGGGTGAAGACAAAGACCAACCTGTAGGTGTGGTGGGTGAAGACAATACCAACCTGTAGGTGGGTGGGTGATGACAAAGGACCAACCTGTAGGTGGGGTGGGTGAAGACAAAGACCAACCTTGTAGGTGGGGTGGGTAGAAGAGACCAACCTGTAGGGGGTGGTGGGTGAAGACAAAGAACAACCTGTAGGTGGGGTGGGTGAAGACAAAGACCAACCTGTAGGTGGGGTGGATGGAGACAAAGACCAACCTGTAGGTGTGGTGGTGAAGACAAAGACCAACCTGTAGGTGTGGGTGGGTGAAGACAAGACCAACCTGTAGGTGGGGTGGTGATGACAAAGACCAACTGTAGGTGGTGGGTGAAGACAAGGACCAACCTGTGGGGTGGGTGGATGACAAAGACCAACCTGTAGGTGGGGGTGGTGTGAAGACAAAGACCAACCTGTAGGTGGGGTGGGTGAAGACAAAGACCAACCTGTAGGTGTGGTGGTGAAGACAAAGACCAACCTGTAGGTGTGGGTGGGTGAAGACAGACCAACCTAGGTGGGTGGTGAAGACAAAGACCAACCTGTAGGTGGAGTGGTGAAGACAAAGACCAAGCCTGTAGGTGGGTGGGTGAAGACAAAGAACAACCTGTAGGTGTGGTGGGTGATGACAAAGACCAACCTGTAGGTGGGGTGGTGAAGAAAGACCAACCTGTAGGTGGAGTGGGTGAAGACAAAGACCAACCTGTACTGTGTGGGGTGGGTGATGACGACCAACCTGTAGGTGTGGTGGGTGAAGACAAAGACCAACCTGTAGGTGTGGTGGGTGAAGACAAAGACCAACCTGTAGGTGGGGTGATGGAGACAAAGACAACCTGTAGGTGGAGGGTGAAGACAGACCAACCTGTAGGTGTGGTGGATGGAGACAAAGACCAACCTGTAGGTGGGGTGGATGGAGACAAAGACCAACCTGTAGGGTGTGGTGGGTGAAGACAAAGACCAACCTGTAGGTGTGGTGGATGGAGACAAAGACCAACCTGTAGGTGTGGTGATGAAGACAAAGACCAACCTGTAGGTGGGGTGGGTGAAGACAAAGACCAACCTGTAGGTGTGGTGGGTGAAGACAAAGACCAACCTGTAGGTGGAGACAAAGACCAACCTGTAGGTGGGGTGGATGGAGACAAAGACCAACCTGTAGGTGTGGGGTGGATGGAGACAAGACCAACCTGTAGGTGTGTGGTGGGTGAAGACAAAGACCAACCTGTAGGTGGGTGGATGGAGACAAAGACCAACCTGCAGGTGTGGTGGATGGAGACAAAGACCAACCTGTAGGTGTGGTGGATGGAGACAAAGACCAACCTGTAGGTGGGGTGGATGGAGACAAAGACCAACCTGTAGGGTGGGGTGGATGGAGACAAAGACCAACCTGTAGGTGTGGTGATGAAGACAAAGACCAACCTGTGGTGTGGTGGTGGAGACAAAGACCAACCTGGAGGTGTGGTGGAGACAAAGACCAACCTGTAGGTGTGGTGGATGAAGACAAAGACCAACCTGCAGGTGTGGTGGATGAAGACAAGACCAACCTGTAGGTGTGGTGGATGGAGACAAAGACCAACCTGTAGGTGTGGTGGATGAAGACAAAGACCAACCTGCAGGTGTGGTGATGAAGACAAAGACCAACCTGTAGTGTGTGGTGGATGAAGACAAAGACCAACCTGTAGGTGGGGTGGGTGGAGACAAAGACCAACCTGTAGGTGTGGTGGGTGAAGACAAAGACCAACCTGCAGGTGTGGTGGATGACAAAGACCAACCTGTAGGTGTGGTGGATGGAGACAAAGACCAAACCAGGTGGTGATGGAGGACAAGACCAACCTGCAGGTGTGGTGGATGGAGACAAAGACCAACCTGTAGGTGTGGTGGGTGAAGACAAAGACCAACCTGTAGGTGGGGTGGGTGGAGACAAAGACCAACCTGTAGGTGTGGTGGATGAAGACAAAGACCAACCTGCAGGTGTGGTGGATGAAGACAAAGACCAACCTGTAGGTGTGGTGGGTGGAGACAAAGACCAACCTAGGTGTGGTGGGTGAAGACAAAGACCAACCTGTAGGTGGTGGATGAAGACAAAGACCAACCTGTAGGTGTGGTGGGTGGAGACAAAGACCAACCTGTAGGTGGGTGATGGAGACAAAGACCAACCTGTAGGTGGGGTGGATGAACAAAGCAATCTGTAGGTGGGGTGGGTGAAGACAAAGACCAACCTGTAGGTGTGGTGGGTGAAGACAAAGACCAACCTGTAGGTGGGTGATGAAGACAAAGACCAACCTAGGTGGGGTGGATGGAGACAAAGACCAACCTGTAGGTGGGGTGGATGGAGACAAAGACACCTGTAGGTGGGTGGATGAAGACAAAGACCAACCTGTAGGTGGGATGGTGAAGACAAAGACCAACCTGTAGGTGGATGAGACAAAGACCACCTGTAGGTGTGGTATGAGACAAAGACCACCTGTAGGTGGGGTGGATGGAGACAAAGACCAACCTGTAGGTGGGTGGGATGGAGACAGCACCAACCTGTAGGTGGGGTGGAGAAGACAAAGACCACCTGTAGGTGGGTGGGACAGACCAACCTGTAGGTGGGTGGGTGGACAAAGACCAACCTGTAGGTGGGGTGGGTGAAGACAGACCAACCCAGGTAGGTGGGTGGGTGAAGACAAAGCACAACCTGTAGGTGGTGGTGGAGACAAAGACCAACCTGTAGGTGTGGTGGATGGAGACAAAGACCAACCTGTAGGTGTGTGGTGATGGAGACAAAGACCAACCTGTAGGTGGGGTGATGAAGACAAAGACCAACCTGTAGGTGTGGTGGATGAGACAAAGACCACCTGTAGGTGGGTGGATGGAGACAAAGACCAACCTGTAGGTGAGTGGGTGAAGACAAAGACCAACCTGTAGGTGGGTGGGTGAAGACAAAAGACAAATTGTAGGTGTGTGGTGAGACAAAGACCAACCTGTAGGTGGGTGGGTGAAGACAAAGACCACCTGTAGGTGGGGGTGGTGAAGACAAAACACCCAGTGTGGTAGGTGGGTGGGTGAAGACCAACTGTAGGTGGTGGGTGAAGACGGACAACCCCTGTAGGTGTGGTGGGTGAAGACAAAGACCAACCTGTAGGTGGGGTGGATGGAGACAAAGACCACCTGTAGGTGGGTGGTGAAGACAAAGATCAACCCAGGTGTGGTGGGATGGAGACAAAGACCAACCTGTAGGTGGGGTGATGGAGACAAAGACCAACCTGTAGGTGTGGTGGGTGAAGACAAACACCAACCTGTAGGTGTGGAGTGGTGAAGACACACACTGTGGTGTGGGGATGGAGACAAAGACCTGTAGGTGGGGTGATGGAGACAGACCAACCTGTAGGTGTGGTGGTGAAGACAAAACTCAACCTGTAGGTGGTGGGATGGAGACAAAACACAACCTGTAGGTGTGTGGTGGATGAAGCAAAGACCACCTGTAGGTGGGGTGGTGGAAGACAAAGACCAGCCTGTAGGTGTGGTGGGTGAAGACAAAGACCACCTGTAGGTGGGTGGATGGAGACAAAGACGCCCTGTAGGTGGGTGATGGGACAAACACACCTGTAGGTGGGTGGATGGAGACAAA